CTCCACAAAAGACTTTGGATAAAAGAGCTGTTGAGATCTTAGTGAGCTACTGGAAGCTGTGATGGAAGTACAGCAGCAGCAGTGGGAGGAGTAGAGATGGCAAGCAGAACGGCAGAATGGCCGAGATCCTGAACTTTGGTATCTTTCTCATCAACCATATCCATTCCAGGTTCGTCTTTGTCCTGTGGCTTGTAACAAGTGGCAGATGTTCTGTCCCGACACTCAATGTCTGATTAAACTATAAGGCTGGAAAGATCTGGGAGGTGGTTGGATAGGGAGGAGGAGGTGTGACGGGGCCCGTCTACAGCCCATTCCACAACCTATATGCATCATGTCGTAATCCTGACTCTGGAAATGGCAAATTTATTTTTTTATTTTTATTTAGTACTTTCTGATGATAAAATAATGAAATAATCAATTCCCAATAAAGGTCATATTTTAATTGAAAATGAACATAATTAGAATTACACCTTTGTGCTCAATCAGTACCTCTTGTTGTCGTTGTTTAATTGAACCATGTACACTTGATAGAGACAGTGGGCTGGTAGCTGGACACTGAGCTGTCCAGTTACATGCCTGAGGCTCTTCCGTCTGGGTTCAGATCAATGTACAGTCCTGACACAAACATGCTCAAGCAAGAGAGCCCCAACTCAGAGTGGCCATAAGGTGGAGCAACTTCCCTATTTTTTGAACCAGAAACAGTAACAAATAGCTGTTCTCTTAACAGTGTCCTCAGTGACAGATAGTCAACAGTCTTTGAGTGCCTGTTACAGAGGTAAAGGTATTTTTGTCTTCAAGGGGTCTTCAAGGTGCCTGGGGGTACAGTCAGTCAGCTAAAAAGTTAATATTTAAAAGAGGTTCCTGCATTTAGTGCTCATCATCCTTCATATATTCATATTAAAATTGTTCATGTTAAATAACATTTGAATTCTTGTTTTTGTAAATATTGTTACTTTTTGTTAAATATTTTTAAGGCTGAGGTAGATGGAAATTGAGATGTCTAAGAATCTAGATAAAGTGTGTAACACCTGGCAGTGTAAACATTTCCAGCTTCAAATCAGGAGGAATGTTTGCTGAGGTTTAGAGAGTCCAGATCCTGTGATCAAAGCAGTCATAAAGTTTACCTCAGTTTACCTTAATTAAGATCTCAGTAAATGCTTAAGTGTCGATCAGAAGTCCAGAAAGACACTATATAAGATCACATCAAGAGAAGGACAGAAATGACAAAGAAGGAAAAGTAGAGCACTACAAGAAAGAGAAAACAGGAGCAGACGTCACTTGAAGATTGTGCCAGACAAGAATCCCACCTTCAAGATCATCTGAAAAGTCTCAATTGGAGCTCAAAAACTGAATCATGCTAAGACAGCTTGCTATTCAGTAGCTTTTAGGAAACTTGGAGTTCCTGAAAAATTGCTTTGTTTAAAATTGTCTCTCCTGCTTATTGGGTGTGAGGGAATTAAAAAATGTTAAAACTACTCTTCTTTAATCTTTCTTTCTTCTCGGCAAAGAAGTAAACTGTTCACCTTTGCTCCTCTGTAAGCACCAAAGGATTGATGCTGTTTCAGCACGAATAACAATAGCATGAGCACAACGCCTTATGAAATGTTGACCGCATATCCTCTTTTCTGAAGCTGTGCTCTAAAACTTACCATATATAGAATTGTTTTTCTGCTCCCATTTTTCGGCTCACATTTATTATGTGGCATCTGGGTTTGCAGAGAGAGAGAGAGATTCAAGCATAGATTGTATCCTATCAAGTTTAGAAGGCAGCTTATCTCTCCTTTGGCCTCTGTAGGCATTATTAAAAAGCCAAGTATTCAGTAGCACCTTGAGGTTTTCATGTTGGTCTAGATGTAGGCCTTGTCTGTATACTTTTAAATACAGTAACTTGTGTGTTGTATTGTGTGTTTACTGTATGCTGTGTGTAGTGTGCTGTTTGTATTGTCATTGTAAACAAATATGTGTTCAACCAAGCGTGCCTGAGTAATTACTCTTATCCCTAAAACTGGCAGAGAACAAAGAATTCATGTGCCTGTATTTATACCAACAACTCTGATCTACTCTTGAAGAAATCTCTTTAAAAGTAGTGAAGTAAGATGTGAAGATGGGGTTAATTTTAAGTCCTTTCTGCATGAAGATTAGACTTCTAAGACTGGAGTTTATGGCAGGAAGGGGGGTTAACTGATAAGGATTCCAGATGCCAGCTAGGAGAGCTAGTGAACGCCCTGGGGACTAATCCCTGACCATTTGGCCAAAAAGCTGTAAACTGGTCAAACCCGTGTCCTCCCCCCTTTACCATAATAATGAATGACGAATCAGAACAGCAAGGAAGGACTATATAAGCCTCAAATTTGTACCGGCACATTGAACAATACCTCGGTTTTGTTGTTTCTTGCGGGAAACAAGACTTTGGCTTTATTGTTCCTTGCATGCAATAACTCATCTGTTTTACTTCATCTCGGGATCCAGAACCTTATTCTTTCTGTTACAACAGTAAGAAACACAACTGGTGCTACTGTACAAGAGGGTGTTTGGGCCTTCAATGTTTTCCAAGGTTTGGTAAAAATCAGTGAGGTCTGGAGATAAAAAAATTGTACTGGCTTAGAAATGCATATTCAATGTAAACGATGAACATTTCTAAAACGAAAACAAAGTGCTTCGAAGCAGGTTATGTTTTCTCTAGTGCTTTCTGCAAGGGTTCCTCACCTGTTAGCCAGCCCTGTTGTTCTATAAGGACACCATCCCCTTGTCCAGTGTGTGATGGTAGAGTAGCTTTTGGTGAAGGTTTGGGTCTAAAACACATTGAATAAAGCCAGGTACACTGCATACTTTATTCACAGTGAAAACACAGAACACAGAAGAGGAATCAGGACTGGTTGAAAATTCAGAATCCCGAAGGGGTCTTAGGTTATCAGATGCCCTATGTCAAGATCACCACCTGGATCAAGGCTGGATCTGGGGAAAGGAATAGGTGTGGAAAGAGTATTTCCATTCAAGAACAGGAGGCACCTCTGCACAGAATTAAGTGAAAGTGCATGAAACAAGCTGTCATGGCTGTAATGATGAAGATGATTCTATTCATCTCTGATAATCAAAAAAAAATCCTGTCAATGTTGAAAGACAATCTTTTTCCAATTAAGAATTTAAGTTGCATTCTCTTTAGACTTTTAATCATTTTAAACTGTGTATTACAGCATGTTAATCATTAAACATAAAAAAATCGGTATATTTAAAAAAAACAAGATTGCTCAGTTGGACAAAAGCACACAACCTACCACCTTTATCATAAATATTTTAAATATGCATAAATATTTTATGCATCAAAGTCTTTACGGAAGATATTACTAATAGTATTAATAATGAATGACCTTGGACAAGCTGTAAGCTCAAAATATAACCATGGTCAACTTTCTTTGTAACTGTTTTTGTAAACGAAAAGACTTTCATTGACAAATAGTAACACCACAGCATTTTGTTGATCCAATCACGTATTTGTTTCCAATCATACAAAGCAAGTTTTGAGAATCTCTGATTCACTATACCTTTCATATGCTCATAAACAATATTAATTTAGGAATATAAACATATTTATGTAATTTGTATGTAAACTGTATATGGCTGGTATTGGTAGTTTAAAGAAAAAATACGCACCAGTATTCCACTTTCTTCTTAAACATTTTAAGTATCAAAGTCTTACATGTGGTTATTTTGGAAATGTTTTTATGTGCTCCTTCTGACTATATTAAGTTTATATACTTTGTTAAAAGTTATAATGTTTTAACCTTTTCTGCAAATATGCTCGTTATTGCAGTAAACAAAGGCATACTTTTAGAATTTGATTAATAGGGATAATATAGAATCATGTATCTAAAGAAATTAATAATGATATAATTATATTAGTACTGTAGCTCAAATTATCACAGTAGTACACTTTCTTTGGATATGTCTGCTTCAGTTTCACTTTCTTCCATGCGATTATGTCTGTGGTGTGATGCCTTAAGCTTGTGCCTTATATGTGTGGGGTTGGCAGTTCAAGCTTGGCTATCAGCCTGGGTTGTTTATCAAATAAACATTTCTTTGAGAAACTAAAATAGCAAATATTATGGACACTATATTGACATTTCTAAATATCTCTTCTTAAACTAGCCTGTCTCAACATTAGATGCAAAGTTTTCCAAGGAGACAGAATGATTGAAGAGGGAGATAGTAGTAGACAGGTGTATCAAAAAGAGCTTTCGGTTAACATTCGAACTAAATCATTTGTCAACTGTGATCTGGATTTCTCAGTGTGGTTGAAACGTCACTTTAAAGAGTTAATGTTAGTTTTTAGACAACAAAAGCCTTCCACAGGACACTCTGCTCTCTAAAACTGATCATGTAATTAAATCATAAAAAATCATGTATTTGTATTTAAAGTTACCTCTGGGCTCTGCTGGGTGCATTGACTTTTGACTGCAGAAAATACACTGAACAACCTCACAGCCTTACCGAGGTCTCTCCAACCCGCACAGCTCTCTAGACATAGTGAAGACACTGATCAGGTAGCCTTAAAGTCTGTGTGCCCTCATTGATTACTGGTTATCAGCTACTGTAAATGGTATAGAATGTTAAAAATGTCATAATCCACATTGGTATAACTAGCATGACCCCCAGCATACAACAATATGCTTATATACTCTTTTATGGGTGGGCCTTGTCCAGCCTTTAAGACATTATAGTGCAGAAATACATTTACACTGAAAGAGTGTAAGAAAGTGAAAATTGCTATTGTTGTTGCACATGTATACTGTATAAAATATAAAATGAAACAAAAACTTCAGTCATGGAAATAATCAGAAAATTAAAGCTTCTCCAAAACCAATGACTATGTTATGGTAAGACACAATGGACAGTGCCTTTAATGGTTAAACATCTGGGAAGTAAGCATGACAATCAGTACTGAAAGTGAAACTTCAGCTAAGTTTCATTTTTAGTAGTCATTTCCTGATTTGTCCTTTGCGTTTCCTGAACAAAAATCATGTTCACTGAAACTATTTATATTGATTTGATATTTCTGACAGTTCAGACCAAGACCTCTGCTTTGAAACTGGTAAGAAAGGGAAAAACATTTTTTCTGCATTAATGTTATTTTTATACTGTTGTATTGCATTGCAACACTAGAATAAGAGTTGTCTTTGATCTAGCTCATGATAAATTACTCTTACTATATTATATAGCAACTTTAAATGTGGATTTTCAAAGTGCTTTACTGTGAGGAAAAAAAGCTATAATGGGAGACAGCAGAATTTATTTCAAATTAGCTTTGGAATACAGTAAGAATGTAAAGGTAATGACACAGGAACAATTAAATAAAAGCCCTTCTAAAGAAGAAGGTTTTGCATCTTCATTTGAAAGTACTTAGGGAAGGTGACTCTCTGACATCCTTAGGGATCAAATTTCAGAGCTCTGGAGCGCAGTAAGAGAAGGCTCTGTCACCCAGAGAATGAGCTTGGGGAAGACCAGCATAACACTAACGAAGGTTCGTGGACAGTAGGAAGATATTAAGTCAGATAGGTACTGAGGTGTCAAGCCACATAGAGCCTTTTAGGTGAGCATGAGGTTTTTGAACTTGACACAAAACCTGATAGGAAGCAAGTGCAAAGACTCCAGGATAGGAGTAATGTGATCAAGAGCTGGTCAGAATTCTAGCTGCTGAATTCTGGAATAATGTAGTTTGATCAGTGTTGATTTACTGTACTGTAGATACCTCAGCAAGTACAGATGCAGCCATTCAAAGTGCGCGGTACAGACACCGCGGTACAGATACCGCAGGTATGATGACACGGGGTACCGTGGTGCGTGATTGGTTGACCGACAGGGGCACTTGTGGTCCGTTGGTCTGTCGTAGAAAGACTTACTGTACAGTAAACGTCTTTACTGTGCCCGTTGTAGATATTGAATTTTACCACTGAAGGGAAATCTTAGTAGCTGAGCATAAAAAGAATAGGAGCATACTGTAACGCGTGT